CCACCCACGTGGAACAGATGTCATGGTACTCTGTGCCCCATTCAGAATGACAGCAGCCACAAGGATTCCATCCAACACAGCTTGCTGTTGTTTGCAACACCAGACTCACAGAACCGTGTGTTCTGACCCCTCAACCTCCTTCATGTCAATGTCTGTGACCAACCTTGGACCAAGGACCAACGAAAGTGTCTGCATTTATTTAGAATTCATAGCGACGTTAGATGATGTGCTTCTGAGAAGCTTCAGGCAAATTCTCAGTCTTACCGGAAGTGCCAAAAAATGAACCAAGAAGCCAGCATCGGGTCCAAAATCGTTGGCAGCCCCGATGATTATCATTTATTGTCCGAGCAAACAGTCATAGCAAACTATATTAGAGACTTTTTCCAACCTATTAGCAATGGCCTCCACCCTAGAAGCGATGGCCTCCAACCTGGTTGTGGGGTCTCTGCATCTCAATCGATAGCCTCCCTCCAATGTCATCATGGTTTGGAACAAGCCATCCATTATTTGGGAACATTGTCATAAAACAGCTTCCACTTCCCTTGTTGGAGAACGTGCGGGTCATTCGTACCAGTGCTTGGATCCCTGACCCATGAACCCTGACCCCCGCTTCACCACCTTCCGCTTCCAAAAGCATCCGCAAATCCTGGGGGATTGTGAGAACCGTGCCACGAAGCACGAATGATCTTTGGATGGGTACAAATGCGAAGACCATTATCAGTTTAGACGACGGTTTGATCGAACAACCATTATTTTACTAAGGAGTTTAGCTATATATAGAGTGTTTTAGTTTTAGACGACTACAAAACCAAGTCAACATGTGTAAGATGGTCTTGGAACGCTAGGGTAGAGGATGATGAGTCTGACAAGGCCCGGGGTCAACTCGCACCAGCCCAGAAGAGAGCTGACATCCTGCCCAGCAGCGAGCTAGACAGCACACAGCACTCATGTATTTCACATGATGTTCATGTATGTTCATGTTGCTTTGTGTTTGTTCACCTGACCCTCACATGAATTTCCCACATGCACCCTCAACCCCACCACCAGCGACCCAAAAAACGAAACGCTCGACCCCCCGCAGCCGAGGCCCCATACAATCCCCGAGAGGCCAGCCACCTTGACAGCACAACGGCGATCGGGCGTTGCCACAGGTGCTCGTTCAGCGCATCCAGTCGACAGGTAGGACCCCTTGGCCCTGGCTCTCCAACCCAAGAGCGATGGCCTCCAACCTAAGAGCGATGGCCTCAAGCCTACTAGCGATGGCCCCAACCTACTAGTGATTCCAACCTACTAGCATTGGCCTCCAACCTACTAAGAGCGATGGTCATGACTGGTCTATTTCCCAAAGCAAACCCTTTGTTTGGGAGATCGCCCGATTTGAACGCCACACCCATATGTTTCAGCGCGATTTGAGCCACACCACGACGGGTCATCGATCTGCGTGGGTGTCATTCTTGGGGTGTGAAAACAACCAGGCCCTAAGTAGAGGTTGAGGCATGATGAACATTGTGCAACCATCACCCAGTCATGAACTGATGAGTTTATGAACCACTGCGTCACCTCATCGTAATCCACTCATCCATCCAAGCAATACACTCCTTAAAAGTCGCCATGGAAGGACTCGTCCGCATAGCCCCTTATGAAGGACCACGTCCGATCCCAAGACCAAGAGCCATGGCGGGAACGCCAGGAAACATCATGAAACCCATGTTTGGTTAGGAGTTTAGAAACCATGTGTTATTTTGTTCCAAGAAGCAAGATCCCCCAAAACATGGGGTGTAAGAACCGAGGCACGTGCAAACAGGACATGGGAAAGAACATCTCCAGGTCCTATGAAGCAACATCCAGTAATCTAAAAAGAGTCCTGTGAATTCAAGCTTGTTGCTTGTTGTGCGTGCAACATGTTCAATGTTCTGCCCTCAATAACATGTTCAAACAGTAACATCCTGCAAAACCAATCTTGCAACATCTTATAAAACTTCTTCCACAGACATGTCGACATCCCTCCAAGTCGCTTCCAATCCTGCAGTACTTCACAGCAATTTCGCTCTAAAATTCCTCCACATGAACTCAAACCACTCCACACCAATAAAGACCTCGCTTGCTGCCTTTTGGCTGTCTCAAACCCCCAAACACACCGAGACCGGAGACCGGAGACCACCGAGACTCCGGACCCCGCGGACGGTGGGTTCCCGCGGTTCCCGCGGTTCCGCAAAGAACGGCGTCCCGCTGTCGCGGTGGGCTCTGGGTCCTCCGGACGCCGAGTCCGGGCCGCAAGACTTGGCTCCTGCGGACGGCCGAGTCCGACTGTGTGGTTTTGGTTTTGGACGGCGAAGATGGACGGTGACGGCTGCGGTGTCGTGTGGTGCTTTTTTTTTGGGGGGGGGTGGGTGGGGGATGGTTTCTATAGGAAATCAATGGACATCAGCAGCTAATTGAACCAGAAAATGGAGATGAACTGTGTTGAGATTTGGGGGGGGCGACAAAGCTATTTTGAAGCTTAGAGGCTGATTCATGTCTTCATCATCGAATCTATCTTAAGAGACAAATAGAGATCTATCAAAGTATCCGAGTCTATCTGACAGTCTCCCAGAAATCTGCGATGATAGATGTGGGAAGTTTGAAAGATTTGTTTCTTCAATAAACCATATTGGATGATGTGCAGCACTGTCTCCTGGCCACCAAGACTCAGTTCCTACGTGGCAGCAAAAACCAAGTCATGATGCAAGATGTGACACAAAAGTTCTCTGGCTGAACTGCACGATGGTGTGATATAGTTGTTGATGTTTCATCTCGCAATTGTAAACAACAGGAATTGCGTTGGAACACACTTTATGAAAGTGCAAAAACAAGGAATTGCTATGATTGCCAGTGTTCCAAACTGCGGGGCCTGTGCGGACTGGCAAACAACCCAATTCTTTCCACAAAAAGACATGCAACATTTGAACACACAAAAATAGATGTGTTCTCTGTTGCTATTGCCACACGTCCGGTTCTGGAACATGTTCACGTTCAATTCAACAACTCTACACTTCCTTCCGCCCCCCCTTCACCCCCACACACCTTTGGGTGCCGCCCCTTCCCCGGATCCCGCAGCACGCGTCCTCACGTGCTCTTCCAAGTGTTCCATGCAGACTCGGCAGCTGTGGGGACCCGAGGGGCACGGGACTGTGGCACCTGCGACGGCCGAGGAAAAAGGGAGTGATTTTGATCAAAAAAACCCAGACGCTCCATGGGAATGCCATATATGCCGATCAGTTGGGGTGGTTTGGGGGGTCAATGTAGGAATATATGGCATACATGGAGCGTCTGGGAAGGGTCAAATTGCCTTTCTTTTTCCCACCCTGTAGGTCCTTGAGTGACGACCTTATGTTTCGTAGTGTAGGTTTTTGTATGGCCAACTGCCAGTAGTTCATGAGATCAGGAAGTGGCCTCTATAGGAACTGCTTTGTATACGACCCTTCACATGGAGAATGGTGCAGAACATCGAAAAACAAGATGGAACCCAATGAACCCGAATGCAAGCACACACTCGAAAAAAACAAAAGAAAAACGGCCAAACTTTAACTTTGTTTGACATTCCTGTGGCACACTCGTGTAAGACACTCTTGTATGCGGTGCTCTTGTGGGACCACTTTTGTAGAATCACTCTTGTGGGACACTCTTGTATGCGGCATGCGACACTCTTGTGGGATACTGTAGGACATTCTTGTTCTTCAAATGTCCTGGGCACTCAAGAGTGGGACGCTCTTGTGGACGCTGTTGTGACGCATCAGGTCCGAAGACTTCACCTTTCGGCCTTCCAGGAGAGCACTGCGATCCAACTCGCCAAGGCCGATCACGCCGGCGGCACAGCTCTTTGCGCTGAGCCTCCAGCTTCTGCGAATGCAGGCAGTTCGTCTTCAATCAGCTCTGACAGAATGCTGTCGAACTCGTCAGGCTCGCCCGAGAGGAGCTGAAGCTCGAACGTCCCATCAAGTAGGACGACAGGAAGCCCTCCCACCTCACCGTTCTCCCATGGACGCTCCACATAGGAGTCAGTCTCTGTGGGAAGACGCTGTGGTCGGAGAAGGCCGCTGTCAAACAATATAAGCTTATCTGCTCCAAGTGCTGCCAAGGAGGCCTGCCTCCCTCGGCAGTCTTCTCTGGAAGCACTGCGTCCGCTGGTCACACGTCTGGGACCTGCGGTCTTGACACGAGCTATACCAATCATCAGGATCTGCATGGGCACTTATGGGTTTGTGGGCGGAGTAGCGCGAGGCTTCGCCGCCGTGAGCCCCTTCGCCACTCTCTGGGTACCCACGGACCCCCGTCCCAAAGCGAAACGGATGGTATGGCAATCTACTTGGATTTGCTTGTTTCAGAACCTGGAGAACATATTCCCCAGGGTTTGTGGGATTGAACCAGTTCCTGGGAAAATAAACAAACATCAAACAACCAGCGGTATGCCTATACCCTGAGCCCAGGTGAACCAACCCCAACTTGACGCATCCAGGCCTGGATTGTCATGATTGTTGCGCCACCTTGGTTGTTCGGAAACATGGGCCCGGCGGAGGTTGGCCAGCTGAGCTTGGGTGTTTTCGTGTGTTCCTCTGGAGAAACGGGTGGAGAACACATGTTTGTCTTTGGCAAGTAGTGCACCTCCAAGGAGGCCATTCTCAAGGAGTGTATTGCTGGGATGGATGGTTGGATAAGGCTATGATGGTTCATCCATTCATCAGGCAAATTGTACAATGAAAGGGTCACGGTCCAAACCTGTTTTAAGACTCCTGCTGATGTTTCATCCAACTTCAAGAAACAATCCAATCAACCAAAAAATGCCCAAGTGATTTCACGGGTCTACGAAATCTGGTTCTTCAGTGTGCTTCAAAAAAAAGAAGAGAGAACGAATCAAAGAAAGAATGTGTTCATCAACTACGGTCTGGAACGCCTCTTCATCCTCACGAAACGAGTGAAGACTCTGACTTCAAAACCCGACGACCTACTACTGTGGCCCGGTGTCTGTACCATCCAACAGCCCTGGCTGCCAGAGGTGCGGCTGCCCCACTACCTGCCCCTCCCCCCGCTCAGCTGCACAGACTTTCGTCCTTTCACAGCCACATGCCGATGCCTTTCAGCGGCTGCGAAGGAGCGAAGAGTCCTCATCCACGGATGGACCAGTGCGGCACAGTCCGCTTCAGCGGCGAGGGGAGTTTGAAGGCTAAATGGAGGGTGTGTGGAGAAAGGGGGTCAGCAAAAATCGCTGTTAGTGCATCAAAAATACCTTCCACGAAGTTCTGCGAAGGTTTCTGGGATTTCGTTGCAGTCAGTTCTCCTACTGGCCCACCATTCCACGAACTGTCCACGAATAGCCTTGGGTTCTACGAATGTCCCGCGCCTTCCACGATGTTAGTAGAACAGGTTTTTGCAAAACCCTTTCTGTGCACCACCCTTCCGTTTGCCTCTGAGAGTTGCAAGGAGTTGCGTGAGTTGATTTAACCCAAACAATCCGCCAAGGTGATCAAAACCATTCAGTTGTCAACCCTAATTTCATGACGTTTTGGCATGTTTTTGTAACCTGATGGTTCATGATGCCATCCGATCCATCCGCTGGAGGTTCTTCTCAGCCGTCTTCCCATGTCGAAAGGCCCCACAAACCGTTCGCTACTCGACCAAGGTGGAAGGACCCACGGGACTCCGCTTGGAGGGAGCTCCGCGGAGCAACTCGTGCACCGACGTCACGGTCGCGGAGGTCGAGTCGAGTCTCCGAATTGGGGAGCCCGTGTTTTCAAAGTGGAGCGCACTTGCCAGGAGTTCTTAACGCCACATCTGCAGAAAAAGAAACGCGGATTGAAAGAAGAACTCCATTTCTTCTACTTCGAACCTTCAAATTGCCATGGGTCGAAGGGAAAGGTCCTTTTTTCACTCAACGCCCGAAGGGAAACATCGCCTGGATCGGACCCACTGCCGATGTGGGACAGGTTCTCGGGTGGTCGAATAGCCCAGAGCATCCATTGGATTACCACCAAACATGTCTCATGTATGTAATCATATACACTAAATTGATCTTAAATTCTTAAATGCATGTCATAGTCAAACATGGTGTCAAAGCTGTGTCAAGCAATTCATCTTAGGTCCAATTGCAAGGAACTCCTCTTAAGAAGTACTACATCATCATCTACGGATTACTCCATGATTCCAATGACCCATCCAAACATCTCCCAACCGACCCCTTCCAACTCCACGATAGAAACACCTTCCGCACCTTCCCCCCCGCAACCGTGCGGCTTCCTCACCGCCCGTCATTCGGCTTTGTCACGAGAACGGTCAGGCCAAATCCTCCTCACGCCACGAGAACGGGCGGACTGGCCGGAGGCCAGAGGTGAGGCTGGAGGTCGGTGGATTTAGAAGCGATGGCTCCAACGTAAGAGCAAAAGGAACCTAAGAACGATGGCCTCCAACCTAGTAGGAATGGGCTGCCGGGCTACTCGACATGTCGCCCTTTTTCGAAGAGCTGGCACAGTAGGTGAAGGTGTTTCCAACGAGAAAAAGGGCGAACAACCTATACATATATCCTCAAGTCTTCGCCCCAAATGAACACTGACCCCCTACTCATGATCAAAGTGCCACCGGAATATTCTCCCCACACATATTCTCCCTACTATAATTAGCTGATTCCAGATCATCTTCCGGAAGTTAGAGTGGCTTCAGCTAGGCTCAGACTACGCCAGACGGCGAACACATGGCAATAAACATGCATTGACCAGGGCGAGACATGAGACCGCTCTCCCACGATTGACATGAGACATGTCTCCATCCGTCCAACCGTCCAGCCGATCGGACGACTGGTCGTCACGGACGAAGCAATTCACGCAGCACATCCACCAGCACCCGACTTGAAAAAGGTCTCCGAAATGGTGGCTTTTGCAGACTTAAAAGTGGCAGGTGGTGACCTGTTGGAGGGTGCTGGACCAGGGGGCGTCCTTGGAGTCCTTCACGGAGATCTTCCCCTTCTTTGAGGGAAAGATCAGAATCAACGCCCTCAGGACTGCGGCGATTCCGCGGGATTCCGCGGGATGCGTTCCTGGCTTTCTGGAGCCCTCCAAATTTGGCCCGGTCTATCTAATTGCACTCACCCTGTGAGGGGCAGCTTCTCTGAAGGGTTTACTTCCAAGATCTTGCCCAAAGAAAAGGCGCCGTCGGAAGATCAGAAAAAACTTGGCAAAACTGACCCCCTATAAGAATGCTTGGTCTGAACCGGACCAAACCCGGAACCCAGTGGAAAAGGGCTGGGAAATGGCTGGTTTGGAAGGCTTTCCTCCTTCTAATAGCGATGGCCTCCATGGCCTCCGCCCATTGCCTCCACCCTAAGGTGGTCTGTCAGCACTTTCTTGGACGAACCAGGTCTGTCACCACGTTCATGTTGGGTTTGCAAGGCTAGAGGGAGGACGAACCAGGAGCTGGGAAATAGACACATCAAGAGACTTCTGGGAATGGGTTGCGGTTGGAAGAACCGGTTCCATACAAAAGAGATCTGCAAAGAGCAACCACGACTAAAGAACCCTGTTCATGAGGGTTTATCATGTTCGTTAAAGTACGCAAGAAACAAAACCATTGTCAAACAACGTTTTCTTACACACAAACTGGTATAATGACCAATGGCTATAGAACATGGTGCTTTTGAGAGCAACACCCACACATTCTGTGGCTTTTGATCGTTCTTCCAAGACTATCAATGTCGAACCGTGGACCCCTTAACAAGCTAAGCACCTGGTAGAAAGGTGCTTAGCACGAACAAGCACAATCCACTGCATGATCTGCTGGTCGTGGACATGCCACACCCACCCAAAACCATCGGTTCTACGTAAGTTCTGTTGTATGGGGATCCAAAAAACACTCAGTAACTCCTTCCCTCTTGCGGAAACAGAAGGGAAGTGCGTGATTTCATTTGGCGCCAACAGCCTCTCCGTTTCTCCACCGACTCGGAGGCCTCCCCGTGGGCCGAAGACCCGTGGACTGACTGGTGGCCCCCTTCCACACCGAGCATCAGCTGCAGCAAAGAGAGCAGCACCCCCAGCATGTTGGGCACATAAATCGGCTTGCTCCAAGCCCGCAGACCGATGATCGACCAGCAGCCGCTACAAAGTCTTAGGGATCGCCGGCACAGGAATCACAGGGAGCGGGATCTGATCGAACAAGGCACCTATGCACCGATCATCTCTGCAAAGGAAAGTCTGACGTCTTTCTCCATTCCAGTCCACCAGTCACCAATCCCTTTCCCCTTTGCTGTCTGAACCCAATTCCTTCCAGTCCACCCCGCGACCAAAACCCTGCCACAGAGAATAAATAAAACCCCCCTCACAGCCTGAGTCCTACACCCTTCTTCACCTCTATGATGCAACACCTTCTTGTGTCCCCCCGCCCCAGCCGAGGAACAGCCCCAGGAAGCAATTCACCGGCGGCAGCAGCTCGCTGCTCCGCTCGGCGAGCACGGAGGTCAGGACACTCAGCGGTGAAGCGAAGAGACACACGCTGAAGAGCAGCGCCAAGTGCCCCACGTGCTCCTCAGATCGACATGCAACATGAGTTTGACAACGTTTTCGTAAGTGATCCTACTCTCCCGCAAACTAACATAGAACCTGAGAATTGACCGGTGGAAGACCATTTTCCTCTACAATGGTTTTGGGGTTCCATGTAGTCCTCTGTAGGGGAGTAGGTTGGGCTTGTGAGTAGGTGGCATGATGAGTTGAGCCCGGCGAGATCGCTGTCGGGCGGAAAGAACGTTCGGTTTGACGGTCCGGTTTGACGGTCCGGTCGATGGTCTGAAACCGGACCAGTCCGCGGTTCGGGAGGTCTGAGCCAAACGAACAGCATGGTCTATCGGTTCGAAGGACGACAACCCATAAGAATCCGGGCCCTTTTTGAACGACAGCGGATTGCTTCGGTTCCAAGCCCTGCGACCCTCTGGGTTTTGACCTTCTGGCAATGAGGTCGGATGAGATCGTCAGATTCGAAAGAACATGAATTGAATTCCGGATCGGTCGGATGATATCGGATGTCAAAGAATATGCCCCTTGAGACCTTCTTTGTTCGTCATGGTTGTCTACTTCTGGCTTGGTAGGACAAAAAGGGGCAATGACCCCTCAATGGTCCAGAGGCAATTCCCTCCACCCAAATGTTCCTGGACCCTGATCATGGAGAGGTCTCAATTCCCAAGCTGTTTGGAGGGACCGGACCAAGCAGTTTGGAGCCTTGGGGCAGCAACATTGCATGGCATACCCGGCATATCATGGACATCAACATGCCCCAGGTCTGCGCAAACGCTCATTGGCGACCGGCCGCATGGGGCAACAATTCACAACAGGACACCGCAAGAACTATATATAGCTTTGGCTCTGGTACTTTGACTCTCTTGAATCTGTCCTCGATCGATTTCCAACTTACTTTCAATTGGTGTTCCTATATACATACTGAACTACATACACATAGTAAGTATACATACTGATGTTCATCAACTCTTCATCCTCAATTGGTCCTTTTTCCACCACCTCAACCTTCACACCGCTCGCCCCGGGACCGGAGGGCCGAGGCGGACGGATGCCACGGACGCGCCGCGTAGAGGTACATCGCCGCGGAAAGGCTGACGGCCACCTGCCGGGCGATGCCGGCGATGAGAAACTGGTGGCGATGAGAAAGCGCCACCGAGGCTGTCCCAGTAATTCGGTTGATTTCGACCCTATATATAGGCTGTCCCATATAGTTCGGTACCCCTGTAGTGTCCTATAATAAGGTCACTTAACATCGGTTGGTGTGTTTGGTACGTCCTGGGATTGGTTCCGAGGTTCGTCCTTGGAGGATTTTGGGCGATCCATCGGCCACCCTGAACCGGGTGCTGGGGCAGAGAGCTTAGGCAGGTGGAGGCTCCACTTTGAGTGGCGTTCAGAACACAGTGGGAGTACTGCTTCAGCAAGACTTTGAGATATTGTTTTTTGAGTTAGAAACTCTATATGGTGTGTTCTGCTTGCACAAAACCAGAGTTGCTTTCGAACCCAAAAGGTTGGGTGTGGCACTTGATTCATTGATTGGTTGATGGATTGGACCCTCTTTCAGTTCTCTGGAGCCGTTCTTCCCGGTCGACGGACGCCCAGGCCATGGATCAGGTTGTCCCTTCCACGAAATTGGTTTTTCAGAAGTGTTCGGATGTGGACTCCATCCTCTTCCACCTCTCACTAGGAAGAGGTGGTTCTGACAAGTTGCTTCTTTGTGGAGCAAAGAACCACCTCTTTCAGCAGTTGTTCGGATGTGGTTCTTTGCTCCATCCTACGTGGCACCACCCTGCCCACCGTAGCCACCCAGATAAGCCCAGGTGCCACGCAAGCGACGGCTGTTCGGTGATCCCAGCCACGAATCTCCGAGCCTCCGAGATGGGAACGATGCGAAAGGGAAAGGGTGGTGGCTGTGGTTTTTAGTTGTTTTTCCCAGTGCTTTCGGTTGGTGTATATATATATATATAGGTAGAGGATGGTAGAGGTTTTTTTCACAGCCCTGTCTATGAGTCTATCCTACTAAGTCCAGGCGCTCAATTCAGGTCTCTTAACCTCTCTTGGTTGGTGGTAGGATGTTGGACGCCATAGGACTCTCAGGCTGCTGATGAATTCATGTCCGGCTGCTGATGTTGGTGGATTGGTTCAGAATGCGTTTGTGATCCCAACACTTCCAACTAGAGCATTATCAATGGCAGGCTACATCATCATCATCATCATCATCATCATCATCATCATCATCATCATCATCA